TGGTGCTCTGACCACACTTTGGGTTCCCAGCCCAGTTCTCATCATGCTCTTCCACAGCTGCCTGCCATTTGCCCCAGGCCGTGGTCTGTCCTGCTGGCAGCACCAGCAGAGTCCCTGCCACTATCTACGTATCTCTCTAGCACTCCTCACTGAGCATATCCTGTTTTAAAAATGTTTTGAACTGAAATAGAATCTCATTGTTTCCCTCTTCTATGTACCCCTCCCACGCCCCCCATTTTTAATTGGCAGACCCTTTTTCTTTATTGTTGTTACACACACACACATATATATGTATATGTATATATACGCACAGGTACATATAAATACACCCTGCTGAGTCTGTTTCTGTTGTCTTGAAAGGCCCCCGGATAGTGGAGACCCCCACTCAAGCCACAGGAGATTATGGCCATCCAATGACTCACGAGACACCGATCTTGATGCAACCGGAAAAGGCTTTAATTGGGGATCAGCCGGCTGAGGCCCGAGACTCACAAGAGGAGTGATGACCACGAGGCCAGAGGGAGAAGGGTATTTAAAGGAGAAAACCACAAACCAGGGGGGATGAGGGAGAATCATAAAAACATCAGCAGACAGTATCATAAAAACAGTGGAAGATCCCCAGGCCATTCAAGCATGTGGGAAATACACTCTGTGTACTTATTTTTTCAAGAATTTAATCTTGTTTAATCATCCATCATGTGGCCAGCCAGTCCTTGGAACAGCCCAGATGACTGGTATTTTCTTTTTGGTAAACCAGTTCCTAGAACCCAGAGCCCAGAGCCTATGAACCAGATGACCCGCATTCTTGGTTCTGTCTTTTTGTGGTCGGCTAATGTTCTTGGAGCAAAGATGGCCTGGCTTCAGCCTCTATATGCTAGGGGTGTCAAAAAAGGTTTATTCTTTTCAGTCTATGTGTGTAAGGTTCCAAGGAAGACCATTTGGCATTGGACAAACAATTCCTGGGAGAGCCTACCTCTCCTCCCAGCAGTTGCCATCTTTCTTTGTCTACAGAAAGGACCCTGAGAACCTGTTCCTCTTCCACATGGACGTGTCTGCTGATGCTGGCATTGTTCCAGACTTTTCCTCCTTATGCAGCCATTTCTAGAGAGGCTGTTCACAGCAGGTGTCTTGGTCCTCTGGTTCCTCAGATCTCTCTGCTCCCTATTCGTTTGCTTTTCCTGAACCATAGACAAAGGTGCTGAGTGTACATGTATCCATTGAGGCTGGGCTCCCCATGACCTGTTGATTTCTGCATTGTGGGGTTTCTGTGATGGGCTCCATTTGCTGTGAAGAGAGTCCTCTTTGATGAGGGGTGGGAGCTGCCCTGATCTGGGAAAGGTAGGTTGAGCACCTGCTTTAAATTTTTGAGACAGTGTGTCGTGATGTCATCTGATTGTTACAAAAAACCTCCCCCTTTATTTTTCTTTGCATAAATCTTTACTAATAACGTTAAAACATTGTTTTTTTTTTGTTTGGTTTGTTTTTGAGACAGGGTTTCTCTGTGTAGCCCTGGCTGTCCTGGAACTCACTCTGTAGACCAGGCTGGCCTCGAACTCAGAAATCCGCCTGCCTCTGCCTCCCAAGTGCTGGGATTAAAGGCGTGCGCCACCACCGCCCGGCTTCGTTAAAACATTGTCATAAGCCCAGATTTCAAACTGCCCCAAGTAATCCCCCAAGATGAGACTCACTCACAAAATGTCTGACCTGGCCTCCTCCTAGCCCAGTCTTGGAATCTTCGGGTGGTGCAGAGCCACTCCTTATTCTGCAGTGGTGTACAGCCCCCTAGTGGCCATGTTCTGTCAGTACACAGAGGCTCCTGGAGGACAGCCTGCTGTGTCTTGGGTTCTGGGGACCCTTTAGTGAACAGAGCTAATGGATGCTACCTTTAGCTAAGAGAAGGAAGACAAAAAAGTAGCAAATTCAGGACAACAATCAGGAGCTTGATTCGGACATGGTACAGCTGAGCAGCTCAGAGGCTGCCTAGAAAGTGCACTGTGGGGCCAGGGCACAGTGCAAAAGATCCCGCTCTTGAGACAGCACCAACTGTTAATGGGAACTGACAACAGAAGCAGATTGGGCAAGTATGGCTCATAGTATGAGCCAGGTCCTGCAGGAGGCGGACAGCTGCCCAGAGCAGGGTAGGCTCATCTCTCCGTCCTCTGCTGATTCCTGTTGCCCCCCCCACACCCCGTCCTCACCCACATCCCTGTACTGAGGACTGAACTCAGGGTCTTGTGTTTGTTGGATGAACTCTATACTACTGAGAGGAATCCCCAAGCCCACCCCTTTCCCACTTTGGTAGTTACAATTTGTCCTGCGAATCCTCCCCTGTCCTTTTTATTATTATGGTGGTCATTGTGGCTGAACATTCTCACCTAGAGCCTCTCTCTATACTCCCAGGATGGCTCCCTCAAGCTATGCAGGCTCAGCCTCAGAGCTGAATACTTCAGGGATCACTAAGAATCTCTGTGTAAGTCTTAATAACAGGCCTACTTCGTCTTTATTTAACACAGCCTTTTTTTTTTTTTTTTTTGGTTTTTCGAGACAGGGTTTCTCTGTGTAGCCCTGGCTATCCTGGAACTCACTCTGTAGACCAGGCTGGCCTCGAACTCAGAAATCCACCTGCCTCTGCCTCCCAAGTGCTGGGATTAAAGGCGTGCGCCACCACCGCCCGGCGAATGTTTTCTTTTATAAGCTGGCTTGGTCATAGTGTTTCTTCACAGCAATAGAAAAGAAACTAAGCAAGGACCTAAGAACTTTTAGGGTGTGTCTTCTCCATTCAATTAATTTAACATAAACCCTCAAAGGCATGCTCCGAGGCTAACAATCTACACCATTTCCTCAGGTGTACCCAAAGGCTTGACCTCTAGGTGGTTCTAGATCCTGTCACGTGGACAATTAACAGTAACCTTGATGGGGTAAGGCATGAGGTAGGGATACGAGTGGAATTTCTCACAAATGGAATAGCAGGAATAGTGCTGAGAAGCTGAGAAAGTGTGTTTGTTGGGTTTGGAGCAGAGAGTAAGAACTCTTTGTTCAGAAAGAAAATGAAGGGTTGGGTGTGAAGCAGGATAGCCAAGGAACTCAACACGAGTATCAATACACACATACACACATGCACAGACCACACATCACACACAACACACACACATAACATACCACATTTATCACATACAACACACAATACACATATAACATACCATACATATCACATATAACACTCTACACATCATAAACACCACACCCCACTTAGACACATACACACAATACACCACACGTGTCACATACATCACACTCCATATAAATGACCTCAGCTATTTGTGGCTCCTTATATAATATCCGAGATCTAAATTAATCCTACTCCTTTGGGGTGAGACAATGTCCTTGAATGTTAATTTAAAAGTTCTCCTGGCTGGCAATTCCAATTAGCTTATACTAAATTCAGCGCACGAAATAAATTCTTTATTTTTAACATAAGAAGGCTTCTAATTCTTATTAATAGGACATCGGGTTCTTTTCAATCACCCCATGAACAGATATTTTAAGAACAACGACCCATTTATGCAACAGATTAGTAGCTTTCTGGTAACACACATTATCCTCCAGATGCCCTGGACGGAAGACTTCAGTTCCCTTTTCTCAAGTCGAAGTCAATGGTTGTGTGAGCTGAAGTCAGTAAACCGCATTCAGCCCCCCGATTGGGAACATTTTTTTCCTTTTTTTTTGAGACAGGGTTTCTCTGTGTAGCCCTGGCTGTCCTGGGACTCACGCTGTAGACCAGGCTGGCCTCGAACTCAGAAATCTGTCTGCCTCTGCCTCCCAAGTGCTGGGATTAAAGGCGTGCACCACCACAGCCTGGCACATTTTTTTCCTAATAAACTTTTTGGTAGATGTTTTAGAAGTAAAATTTGACGTTGAGGTGACCACTATGTTCTGGATGCTTCCGTACTCGATCCCTAAGCTTTGGCTACGTTTCTATGTTGACAGGTCTCGCAGTTCAATGTTCAGAGATATAGACTATGTTAACTGTGTCCAGAAAACACATGTCAACTCTACGTTATTAATATTATTATTTTTAATTTTTTATTGATATTATTATTATTATTATTATTATTATTATTAAATCAGTTCTCTCTTCTGGGCAGTGGCGCCTAGCAAATACAGGCTGAGTTTCCATTTCCTCATGGAAAGATAGGAACACAGGTTTCTCTCTCTCTCTCTCTCTCTCTCTCTCTCTCTCTCTCTCTCTCTCTCTCTCTCTCTCTCTCTCGGCGGGGGGTGTCTTTCTCGCAGGTGGGGGTAAGGCAGGGCCCTTCTACAAAGCTCAGGACGTCCTTGAAGTTACTATGTAGACCAGGCTGGCCTCCAGCTCACAGAGATCTGCCTCAGTGCGCCACCATGCCCACCGTGCCCGGCTGGAACAGGGATGCCGGCTCTCTAGGTGTGAGGAATATAAAGTGTTCGGCGCACTCACCGCGTCCCTCAGAGTCACCAAATCCCCAACACACACCAGTTTACATTAAGGGGCCGCGAGCAGAGGAGTTAGAAAAGGGTGGGGATCAAAGTGGAAAGGTCAAAAGGCCAGAGCCTCCAGCCTGAGAGCCTTAGACTTCCGTCACCATAGCGACCTCAGCGACGGACGGAATTACCCAGGCCCCAACAGGCTCTGCGATCTCAGGTCCCTGGGGTCCTCGGCGTGGCGGGTACTAGGTAGAGCCGCAAGACGCAGACACCCACGCCGACGCGGTTGCCTAGCGACACGCATTTTCCCAGGATGCCTAGCAGTGTTGTGTTTTCTCAGCCAATCAGAGCTGAGATGCACCTTCGCTGTGGACCAATAGAGCGCGAGGCCGAGGCCCGCGACGGTTGACCCAGCGGCTGGTAGCTCGCGGGCTCAGGCAGGCTGACGAGGGGCTCGGGGGTCGGCGCGGTTGGCCTGCAGCGGGCGATCCTGGGCTCCGAGCGGCGCGGTGGTGCGGTTGTAGGGGTGGCCGCTCGCCATGCCGTCCCGGGTGGAGGACTACGAGGTGCTGTACAGCATCGGCACCGGCTCCTACGGCCGCTGTCAGAAGATTCGGAGGAAGAGCGACGGCAAGGTGAGGCGCCGGGCAGCCCTTCCTAGGGGGGCTTAGGGAGAAGCGAGCGTCGCCCACGCTGGGAAAGGGCAGAGCGGCCATCTGAACTCTCGTGAAGGCCCCGACTGTAGCCTCCTAAGAAGGGAAGGGTCCGCCGGCGGGCTGCCGCGGCTAGGAACCGGTTGGGGCTGGAGGCGCCAATCGGCGGCGAGCAGAAAGACGAGCTCACGTGACCTGCTTTGCGGCTGAGCCCTGCGCCGTCCCGGACTCAGGCGCAGGGGATGGTGCCGCCCACGTTATCCCGGGAGGGTCTTCCCATTAAATCAACCCGGTCTAGACTCCCTCACTGACACAACCCATTGAGTTGTAGGAGATACTGCAACGGGACGTAGTTGTTTTGTTCTTCAACTTTGGGAATTTCGTCCTTTGTCTCCGAGGACAGTAGATCCTCACACCTTGGAAATGTTGTGTTTCAGATCCTGGTGTGGAAAGAACTTGACTATGGCTCCATGACGGAGGTGGAGAAGCAGATGCTTGTGTCCGAAGTGAATTTGCTTCGGGAGCTGAAACATCCAAACATCGTCCGTTACTATGATCGTATTATTGACCGAACCAACACAACCCTGTACATCGTAATGGAATACTGTGAGGGAGGGGACCTGGCTAGTGTCATTACAAAGGGGACCAAGGATAGGTAAGCAGAAAGGGTCTAGTTTTGTGGTTGTTAAGTACGTTATGTTGACAACAGGGACAGACCCCTTAATAATGTGGTAAAATGTTCCTGTGTTTGTTTGGTGGCGGCATAATATGTTGAAAAGTCCTTAGCAAATCAATTCCCACAGTTGCTATCTAATAATAATTTACTTCCATGCTTGCACACTTTGACAGCGTAAATGATTTGTCCCGTATTGAAAATGATTTTATTAAGGATTGTGAAATGTGTGATTGCTTTTGCTCCAGACAATACTTGGAGGAAGAGTTTGTCCTTCGAGTGATGACTCAGTTGACACTGGCCCTGAAAGAGTGTCACAGAAGGAGTGATGGTGGCCATACTGTGCTTCACCGGGATCTGAAGCCAGCCAATGTCTTCCTGGACAGCAAACACAATGTCAAGCTTGGGGACTTTGGACTAGCTAGAATATTAAATCACGACACAAGTTTTGCAAAAACGTTTGTTGGCACACCCTATTACATGTCTCCTGTGAGTATTTCAGAATTTAACTTTTTTTTTTTTCTTTTCTGTGACAGGGTTTCTCAGTGTAGCCCTGGCTGTCCTGGAACTCACTTTGTAGACTAGGCTGTCCTCAAACTCAAAGTGATCCTCCTGCCTCTGCCTCCCAAGTGCTGGGATTAAAGGTGTGAGCCACCACACCTGGCCCAAAATTCAACTTTTTAATATTTTAGGCAAATAAAGCATTCAGATGCAAAGAACCTAGACTTGGGTTGCTAATAAATCCAGTAGCCCAGAATTCACAATACAGTTTAAGTTTTGACTTTTTACTTTATTCTCCTAATATTGGGTGTTGAACCTAGACCTTCAGGCATTTGAGGTAAGCACTATGCCACTGAGTTACAGCCCAAATTGTTTTATATATAGTATATATTTTTAAAATGTTTATTTATGTATATGTAATATATGTGTCTTGTGAGTGAGTGCTGTGTGTGTGTGGTGGAGGCCAGAAGAGGGAGGGAGTGGACTCGCCCATCCCACACACTCATGCTGATGCTGGAGTGCTAGGCAACTGGGAGCTGCCTGACCAGATGCTGGGAATTGAACTCAGGTCCTGTGGAAGAACAGCAGGTGCTTTACCACCGACCTCTCTAATCCCTCTTAGATTATTTTTCAAAGAGGCTTCCTGCCAAACAGTTCCTCTGTATTCAACTAGAGCTTTAAAAAGAAAAATCAAAGACTTATTTGTGTGTATGGGTGTTTTGTCTACATGTATGTAAGTGTACCACGTGTGTGCCAAATGCCCAAGGGGGTCAGAAGACAGCATTGGATTCTTTGAAACCAAAGTTATGGATGGATTGAGCTGTCTGGTGGAGGCTGGAAACTAAGCCCAGGTCTTCTGTAAAAGCAACAAGTGTTGTTAACTATTAAGTTGTCTTCCAGTGTCCCCCAGTCCCCAGGAATTCACTGTGTAGTTCCGGCTAGCCTGGAGCTCAACCGAGACCTGTCCGTCTCTGCAGGGATTAGAGGTGTACCCCACAGTGCTCAGCTTTGTTTTTTTTTTTTTTTTTTTTTGTTATGTTTGTTTTTTTTTGTTTGTTTGCTTTTTTGGTTTTTCAAGACAGGGTTTCTCTGTATGGCCCTGGCTGTCCTGGAACTCACTCTGTAGACCAGGCTGGCCTTGAACTCAGAAATTTGCCTGCCTCTGCCTCCCAAGTGCTGGGATTAAAGGTGTGTGCCACCACTGCCAGGCTTTTTTTGTTTTTAAATGACCACAAAGTGCTAAATGAACAAGGTTACAAATAATGTTTAAGGTAACAGTGTTTCCAAAGGTGTCAGTGAAATAGTATTTAAAGGCAACAGTGTTTCCCAAGATGTCAGTCCTGAAGTGGTGATCTCAGACTCCTTGGGAGGAATTTTTTTTTTAACATACAGAGTCCTGGACCCAGAGTTAAAGTCCTGCTGGTCGCGTTGTATCTGCAGGAAGTCTAGATGAACTTAGATGCTCAGGTGCTTGGTGCTGCTTATGAGTTTAGGACCCAGGCCCAGGGATGGTGCTTCCACCTTTAGGGTGGGCCCTTCCAGCTGAGCTAAGCCAGTCTAGACTCCCCTGCTGATGTACATAGTCTTGTCCTAGGTGATTTTAGATACTGTTGGGTGGACAGTATTTACCCTCACAGTAGCCTTATGTTTGATGAGGCTCAGGGCTTCTCACATTGTCGTCCAGTTTTTAGTATTAATTTCTGTATGTCCTGTTCTTGCTGCTCCTCTGCATTTACAGTGCTTCCAAATGTCTCACCATCATAAAGTGCCCTTTGTGCATATTCTTGTATGAATTAGGCCTCATTTCTGATTATTAGATTGTAGAACAATTGTTGGGGCAAGAACATGACAGGTTTTTAATCTGTCATTAGATGTCAAGGTCAGGGCAAGCCTTTAATCCCAGTCTGATCTACATAGTGAGAGATCCTGTCTCAAAAAACCAAAACAAAGCAAAAGTAATATACCAGCCAACCTCAAGTTTATAAGGGACAACACTGCTGTGTAAGTGTATAACTAGAGGATTCTTTAGTAGTTCACAGAGATTGTCAGAATTTTCCAGATATATAATCACACCAGTAGAACTGGTGACAATATAAAACCTTGTGAGTTTGTGACTATTTTCAGAGCAGGGCAGTTTTCCCATGGTGTCGTGTTCCACACAGCTTGATTACAAAGGAAGTCACCCAGAAGTTAGCACCTGCACGGTCTTTTGTGCCTCCTTTTCCCACGTGCCCTTGTGACTGAAGGAGCTCAGTTTCCCTGAGACATACGCTAGGAGAAGTAAGCAGAGTGTTTGTTCCTGCTTTAGAACCGTGGGGTGGGGGTGGGGGTGTTTACATTCATGTATTCATGGGTAGATAGATAGATAGCTATGTGTGTATATGAATAGGTGACTACAAATGCATAGTTAAGCTTTTCTACCTGTATCTACTGAGATGTCAGCTAGATGCATGTTTTGGTTACTCCAACTTTTTCTATAATTCAGTTATTTTGATTTAGAAAATGTGATGTGTGTGTGTTTAAGCCAGAAGAGGGCATCATTCCCCTGGAGCTGGAGTTACAGGCAGTTGTTAGCTAATGGGCTCTCAACCTGAACAACCTCTCTAGCCTCTTGCTTTGATTTTCTTCTGTACCTTGGTGTTTGCCTGTCTATATGTCTGTGTGAGGTTGTTGGATTCCCTGGAACTGGAGTTACAGACAGTTGTGAGCTGTTATGTGGGTGCTCCGGAAGAGCGGTGAGTGCTTTTAATTGCTAAGCCATCTCTCTAGCCCTTATTTATTTTTGAGACAAGAGTCTCAAGTAGCTCAGGCTGGCCATGATGGAGGATGACCATGAACCCCTGACCCTCTACCTCCATCTCTCAGGAGCAGGGTTAGAGGTGGGGTCCCCCAGCTAGTCCTCTGATTGTAAAAATGGAGTTTCTACTCAGTGTCTACAACTGGATGTAGTCCCAGCTTTTGGAGGCTGCGGCAGGTGTCTGAGACCCTTGTCTCTAAACAAAATTGAGGATAGCAGGGAAAGCTCTCTCACCATTGCCTCTGGATTGTAAATGTCCACATTTTATTCGTGAAAGTGAAATAGTGAGCGAATTACTCATGAAGTTGCCAGGACAAGACCATTGCCCTTTTTTATTATAAACATGAGGATAAGGTGGAAGCCGCCATCTTTGCTACTGTAGTCTAAGCTACATTAGTCTTTTGGATATGAAATTTTGAAAATTTTTGCTAAAGATAGAAAATTTAACATTTTTCTTCTCTCTCTTTTTCTCTCTTTCTCTTTCTCTCTTTCGCTCAAATTTTACTTTATATGTATGAGAGTGTTTTGTTTTCATGGACACCAGAAGGGGGGGAATCAAATCATATTGTAGGTAGTTGTGAGATACCATGTGGTTGCTGGGAACTGAACTCAGGACCTCTGGAAGAGCAGCCCATGCTCTTCACTGCTGAGCCATCTCTCCAGCCCCATTTTTTCTTCTTAATGGACTATTACCAAACATTGAGGTTCTTTTCTGTCTTGTGTTCAGTGTAGTGAATTATTTATTGTAGGCTTCATTTTGGTTGTTTTTGTTTGTTGGTTTTTTCTCATACACCTAGGCTTCCTAGAACTTGTGTAGCTGAGAATAACTTTGAAGTTTTTAAAGAAGATTTTATTTATTTTTATTTTATGTGTATGTGTTTTTCCTGAATATATGTACAGCCTGGGAGACGACAGGGCATTGGATCCCCTGGAATTGGAGTCATAGATTGTAATGAGCTGCCGTGTGGGGACTGGGAGGGACACCTGGCTCCTGCAGGAGCATCGGTCATGTCTTGGCTGTTGAGCTGTGTCTCTAGCCCGTTGTTGTGTTCTGGTCCTCATGCCTCGACCTCCTAAGTGCCGGGGTTAGGAACATGAGCTACCACACCACGGTTATTTCGTGTTTGGGATCCAGCCCAGGACTTTCTGCCTGCTAAGCAAGCACTCTGTCAGCCTAGCTGTACCCCAGCCTTCAGGTTGAAACAAAACAAGCTCTCACCTCCTTGGTACTTTCTTACCTTCTCCTTTAGGAGCAGATGAGCCGCCTGTCCTACAACGAGAAGTCGGACATCTGGTCGCTGGGCTGCCTGCTGTATGAGCTGTGTGCGCTGATGTGAGTGTGCAGAGACCGGCCTGTCCGCTGCTCACACTCTGGGCCCTGTTAGAATAGCAACAACAAAAAGCCCGACTTCTACAAATTTAGAATTGAACCTGTGGGGCTGGGTCCTGCTTTGTTCCAGGATCTGTGTTTGCCAGTGGGACTGATGCTGAGCTGGAGGGCAGTGTGTAGATCAGGCCAACATGGCAGGTGCAGCAGGGGTCCTGGCGAGGGGTGTGTGGTTGGCAGACAGGAAGGGTTGTGAGTCTTGACACTTTCCCCAGAACCACCGTTGTGCAGGGACAAAGGAGAGACTTTCCATCACACTGGAGACAATTTGGGCTGTCCTTCCAGAACTAGTAGGCAGAAGCTGCGGGCACTGCTGCAGAATGTCTAAAATGTATGGACACACCCCAAGTCAGAGCTGTTCAACCCTAAAGTACAGCAGTATGGCCTCTCCACAGTACGGCGGCGACACTGCTAACTATAGCCAAGGAAGAGTCCCAGCTGAGGAAGTAGAATGGAGGCAGACGCCAGCCCCCAGTTACTCCTGCCCTTCGTGTTCATTTAACATTTCTATAACTCCTTTCTCTCCTGTGCCCTCCCCTCTCCCTTCTCTCTCTTTTCCCTCCTTTTCATTTTTATTTTTATCTTTTAAATCACAGGCCACCGTTTACAGCTTTCAACCAGAAAGAGTTAGCTGGGAAAATCAGGGAAGGGAGATTCAGGCGCATCCCCTACCGCTACTCAGATGGCTTGAATGACCTCATCACTCGCATGCTGAATTTAAAGGTAATGGTTACAAGGCACCGTGTGTCCTGTCTGGGTCTCTGTGTACTTTGGAGGCGTACTCTGTGTAAAGGCCGGTGAGAACTAAGGAAGTGTCGGTCTCCCCGGCTCAAATCCTTTTAGCACAGGTGGATGCTCACCGTGTGCAGACATGCCTCCTCAACTGCTGTGGCCTCTCTTCCTGTTTTCCTTGCTGTCTTCTGCCACAGTGATGGGTGGTTAGGGAGGACTGAGGAAAGGCCGAGGTCAGAGCTGCAGTGGTACGGGAAGGACCAGAAGGTGCTGTGTTCCTTTCCTCACTGTGAGGGATTCCGGATTATGAGGGGAAGGTAAACAGCGGACAGTGAAAGTATCCTGAAATGGTCTCTGGCTGGTGGGATGGGAGGCAGGTGGTCTTTGTTGGCTGAGGAAAGTGAAGCGGGGAGCTGTGGGTTTGTGGAGGATGCAGGGGTGGAGGGTGGGGAGGCAGACTGATAGGATTGTCGTGAGGATGTTCTCCTTGGTATGAGAAACCAGTCCCACTTTCCCAGAGCAGCCCTGTGATGCCCAGTGTAGGTAGGTGTGGGGAGTTCTGCTGGCCTGAGTCAGCTCCTTAGAATCAGCGAGAAAGGGGAAACAGGTAGATAAACCCACATCATCATGTAGACCCAGTCCTTTGTGACCGTGAACTTGTCTTTCCAGGTGTTTAACCTGATATCTCTAGATGCAGGGACCGTCTTTTGTCTTGTTTACCCTGCTAATGTTAGCAGATTTTCTAAAGATGTCTCTGATCTGCCTGCCACACTGTTTCTTCAGGACTACCATCGCCCTTCAGTGGAAGAAATTCTGGAGAGCCCTTTGATAGCAGACTTGGTTGCAGAAGAGCAGAAGAGAAATGTGGAGAGGAGAGGCCGGCGCTCAGGAGAGCCTGTGAAGCTGCAGGACTCCAGCCCCGCGCTGAGTGAGCTCAAGCTGAAGGAGAGGCAGCTGCAGGAACGAGAGCGAGCACTCAGAGCTCGGGAGGACAGCCTGGAGCGTGAGTGGTGCCCAGAGCCAGGGAGCCAGCGTGCTGCAGTGGGGAGGTGGGGAGGTGGGGCCGAGGTCTGAAGAGAAGAGCTTATATGCACAGGCTGTTAGAACCTTTTGATTCTTTTTAGTTGTGGGTCCTGGGGATTGAACTCAGGATCTACAGTGAGCTACATCCCAGCACTTTTCTCTCGAGCTAGGATCTCTCTGAGTTGCCCAGGCTAACTTTCCATCCTTCTGCTCCAGCATCTACGTAGCTGGGTTACAGGCCTGTGTCACCAAGCCTGTCAGAAAGAACCTTTATAAACCAGTGGTTCTCATGTGGGTTGTGACCCCTTTGGGGGGTTCAAATGACCCTTTTACATGGGTCACCTAAGACCATCAGATAACTCGTATTTCCTATGAGAGTCCACTCCTTTGTCCATCTCCAGGTGGTACACACACATGCAGATGTGCCCTCATACAAGAACCAGATGGGGTACATCATGACAACCCTATCACATATACCCTGAACATATATATACATATATATATATACATATATACATACATATATACATATATGTATGTGTGTGTGTGTGTGTGTGT